GAAGGAAACCTCGCTACTTAGGCTCTCGAGTCTGCGGTTCTCCCGGTTCTCGAGGACGCATCGCAGCCCCCGGAGCTATCGAAAGACCGGGATAGAAATTAGTTTAACGGTTCTCGGGTACCGATGTGTCTGGACGGAGGATTCGGAGCCTCGAGGAAATTCCGCGTCGTTACCAAAGTTCCGTATAACCGTCGAGCATAGAACAGGTATCCGTGCAACTCCCTCTGCAGGAAAAGCGCGCTGAGGGTGCAATAGAGGGAGGTCGCGATACCTTCGGATAAACTTGCTCGTCACTTAGTTAGTTCGTTATCCGTCAGCACTGGGGCTTCCGACATTCACCCCGCAGTTAGTTTGGAAACAATCGAGCTTCTATCAGTCGGTATAGTCGGTTAACATTCAACCACTCGCGTTTCGATTCGCTGTACAATCCATCAGGTCCGACAAATACTTCAACAACTACTATACGTTGCTACTTTTCATTCGAGTAGGTCCTGCACCACAATGCAGGGAATCGCTATACTCAGCCATACTTCTTCCAAAGTATGTCGTAAATTAAAAAAGGTTGAGGACCACCACGATAAGCGGTACACGCTCCTGAACAATATCGTATGCTCGAGTTCTAAGTCGATGTGTACAGAGCGCTTCAAAATGCATACGCTTATCGATCCACAATTAGCGCGCGCCAGTTGCAGTCAGTTCGCCACTTTGGAGAATTGATAGTTACGATATTTCGCCGATGGCTTCGTTGGCTGTTTATCTCGACATGTAGTATTCTAAAGAATTCTATTCCACCGTCGTGGCCCAAGGTAGGTACGTGCACAGTAACGCCGATTCGGTAGGAACTTAGCCTATGCCCGCGAAATTGCACGTGAGCAGCCCACGTTCTACTGGCAGATTTGATCCGCCACGCTCGCGAAATTGGGCTCCCGCGGCGATAAACTAAGTTTGGAAACGATAGTTTAATGATGGCAACGCCACAAGTTTGTATGTATAACACATTGTTGGCTCAAAAGCTGTCCGCAGTGTTCGACACAGTCTGCAAACTCGGAAATCTTGTTGTTTAAACAGTTATCAAGCGCGAGTTATCCGATTTCCCGCAATCGACGAGTTCCTTTCATCGAGTCTTTTGCAGTGGATTCCGATCATCGATAAAGTTGAACATTATAAATTTCTCCAACGGTTCCAATTTTATTAATCGTATTTAAATCATGTTGGCACGCCTGCAGACGTTTCGTTGACTAATTTCCAGAGTTGCAAGATATCTGGACCGTATCTGTACTCCCTTGAACTAAGTTAAGAGTTTCGTTACTGTCGCTCATCAACTGACACGTTGGGCAATATAGAATAATTTGAATGCATGGTGCAATTAATATACATTTTTCAATGACGGTATTCTTTGTCAATCAAGCAGGGCTGTGACAAGCACGAAACAGGGAGCAGAAATAACGATGAAAAATTTGAATCTACGGTTGTGCCAAGGTATGTCGTTGTCAAGTGCAACGAGACTGTCAACGAAAATATGTGCATGAAAAATACTTTCGAAATCAAATTCTTTGTATATGAGGAACGGGGAGGAATGCGGAACGCGTTTCACTGACAAATATATGAAGCGCAAAGTACGTAGCTTCTTTGAGACAGCATGAGTTACTTTGTCGCGTTCTTTCGCTATAGAACGCCTTCTTTCGTCCAAGTATCTCGGGTCGGATCGAATATTTCTTAAGGAATAAAAGTAACGCGTTATTTCCGTTTTAAAGCTTCCATCCAGGGCCTTCTTCGAGGTGTTAATTTCTAAAATTAATCATTTCAATTCGCATTCCAACTTCTATCTGTGGTTTCCAGTGCATTTTCGTCGCAGTGTTATAAATTCACATCCTTGAACATTCATTTATATATGTACATAGCGAGACGGTTAAAGGACGCGCAGAGAACTTAAGTAGAATATCTATACAGATTGCGTTCTCTCATGAGAACTCTGTCGCGTCGCGACAACCAGCGTGAAATCACGTTCACGCGGTGGGAAACGATAGCTGCTCTGGGAACGTATGCACGGTTTGTGCGAGCCTAAGATTGCGAGCTCGCAGCAGGATTCCAAGTCGTGGCAAACGACACGAAACCACGGAATCGCCTACGTACATAGCCGCTCAAAAGCTTGGAACGATCTTTGGGCTCGTGAAATATTGACTATGGCAATTTTTCGAAATCGATGTCTTTAATAGAAATGTGTCCGAATAAATATTGTACGAATTGTTTTTAATACCGCGGAAAGGAATGAGAAAAGGTTCGTTTATTTTAATGAACAAATGTGCTTGAAACTTTTGAGCAACGATGTACAAATCGCAGCGTGAGGTCGCAGTTACGCAGCCGGGATGCGAATTCAGAGGACGCGTAGGGACTTAAAGCAGCACACGTAAAACATGAGTCGTAACGGGTGGAGTTCTCTGCTAGATTCGTCCGAGATTTAGTGTCGAGCGCGTGACGCTATCGGGTGCGGATGAGCGGGCTCATTTACATAGGGAACGTGTAGGATGGCTTCATGAATTACTATAAGATAATCTTCCTATGAATCGATGTCGAATCTTTTTAAATATGGAAGAGGCGCGCAGTTCGCTTCCATTAAATTAATTCGGTTTTCGCTCGGTAATTCCAGTTCAAGCGACCAAACGATGCACATCAACGTCAATTTATCCATTCAGAATTCTTTGAAAGCTCGAACGCGAGAAGCGCTAGATTCACAACGCGGAACGTTCAACACAGACCAGACACCGTGGCAAACTCGAGTAAAAGTTTTTTAATGGAGTTCCTATACAGTTGGCAGTCGCGATAAATCTTGAGTTAGTAACTGCATCAACGTTTTCACTTGGAACGTATCCTTGTCTTGCCGGCGCGTACTCGAGAGCAAAACACAACCGCCAGAGTCTGTAACTTTCGGCAAAAATACGCACGCGTGACTGTAATTAAACATTCTCTCGAAACTAGCGCAGTTCTCTATGAATTGTCGCTGCCTTGAATTATTATGCGCATACTTAGCAACGCGTTCGAGTAACTGTGGCTAGACGAATCCCGCTGCAAGCTTCTTCGTACCAACTGCCGTCTACCGTTTTCCACGCTTCGTTTCTACTTTCTCTACCTTACGAGATATCGAGGTACCAACCCTTATCGAGAGATGACAGTGAATCACGTAGATCCCACCCTCTCGCTCGTCTTAATCCCATTCCAACGTGGCTCGCGGCGCTCGGTAATCGCACGAGCAAAGTTGTATCCGGAGCTGTCTACCCAAGTTTCGTCCGATGACTTTGCTGCGTTGCGGTAACGTAGTCCGACGCTTAGTTACTCTTTGTGAATCAACAACGCGTGTCCGTTGGCGCGCTCTACCCCCGTAGGCCGTGGCGAGGTCTCCGCCGAGGTTCCTTCGGCGGCAATGTACATTCCTCAGCCGTCAGTGTCTAGCGCGCGAGCCGCTGGCACACGGGATCTCGTGTGTACACGCGAGCATAACCCGTGGCGGCGAGTTTACGGACGGACGGACGTCGGATCGATCCGTGGTCGTGGAAGAGGGACGAGGCGGAGGGGTTGGACGTTTACGAAGAGCGAGGGAAAGCCGTATCTCTGAAGAAGGACGGAGATCCTTGCGCACGGTGCGCCGTCGCAACGCAGGACCGACGTCGGGATCAGTCGAAGCTCCTCGGTGGGGGGATGAATTTTCCATCTCCTTTCCACGAATCCACCCCCTCTGTCTGCCGCCCTTGTTCGCCATCCTTGCTTTCCACCGTGTCGGTTCATTCTTTCCCGTGTTTTCCACCCCTCTCGGTCTCTCTCTCTCTCTCTCTCTCTCTCTCTCTCTCTCTCTCTCTCTCTCTCTCTCCTCTCTCTCTCTCTCTCTCGGTCTCTCTGTCTGTCTGTCTGTCTGTCTCTCTCTGTCTCTCTCTTCATCCCCATCGCACCTATCTATGTTCTCTCGTTGCATGTCGTCGATCCTCTACTCGCGAATTTCCCCTCTGCTCTTTGTTTCTCCCCCTCCTCTCGTATCGTTCTCCATCTCGGCCGTAAGCGTCTGCGTTCGTCCCTGTTACTCTCTGCGCGTCGATCTCGGTCCGATTCGCGCGTCTCTGGCCTATCTCGCTTTCACTCCTGCCAACCCCTCTCGTTCGCCTGGTTCTCACCCCCACGTCGCGTCTGCAAAAACAAGCATACGCCGATCCCCAGTAGCACCCTGGTACACAGACCAGGCTAGAACGTCACACCGGGTGGCTCTGGTACCAGGTGTAACGTGGCTCTTGTCGTCGTTCGCGACGTCACACACGGACGTCGTGTCACGTGCTACCTGCGCGTGACGCGATACGTCACGACCTGACCTCCAATTTCGTCATCGTCGAGCAACCTGGAAATCGGACGCTGCGCATCGCCCGAGGATTTCGAGGTTACGATCGGTGCTCCGAGCGGCAAGATGCCTTCGAGGCGCAGGACATCCTCGCCTGATCGCAGTGTCCAGTGCACGACACGGATGACAAACGATTACAAGTGAGCTGAACGTTCGGTATGCCCAGTGATTCGTGACTAGCGCGAGAACGAACATCTGATAATCGAATTTGCTCGAATCGAAGAGACAACGTCACGAATTTGTGCGTCGAATTAAGGTACGAGTGCCGGGGGTAGTTTTAATTCGAGCGCGTTGCTGAAATGACCGATAGTTGAAAGTTCGAGGTGTTTGGAGATAAAACGATTCTGCTCCGCGGCTACAAGAGAGTAATTAATTTTAAAACATCCGAATGGTAGAACTGTGCGTCGATACCGAAGATATCGACTGTTTCCAATCTCGTCGACTCAGCTGTTGCGAACTATATATTTATTTCAAGTTATTCCAATCGAACGACGTCTTCAAAAACTTGTAATATTCTCACGAAAGATAACGAACGAATGAAAGCAAACGTCTAAGGTGAATCTTCTATTGTATTCTACAAATCGTTGTTTGCTTCTTACACGTGGTCGAAAGGTCACGGTTTTTGGAATATTATTCGAACGTGTCGAGGTGTTGATGAAAGGACCAATGAAAAACCAAGCGTAACCACGGACGTGTAACCGAAATAAGAAGTGAGCTGGTCACGTAGTCGGCGGTAGGTGAACATCGTCGGTGACGCATTTCGAGGAATTGCTTGTCTTGTCGTCTGGTGTGCATGTGCGTACCGTCGCGACTTGTTTACTAGAATCAGTGGTGACTGGAAATAACGGAGTTTGTCGCGTTTTCGAAAGTGGATCGAGACGAACCGTATTCGAGACGACGGATTATTTCAACAGGGAGGATCGGATGCGATGACCAAGTTTGAGACTCGCACCTGACGGATTCCGTTTCATCCCTTACAGGTAAACTGACTTTCATCAGATATTTGTAATTTAAAATACTTGAATCGGAGTTATCGATTCATAAACGATGAGTTTTCTTATTTCGCGATGGACTTATTTTTGTTGGAATTCGCGAGATAAGGAGCATCGTTGTTTCCGGGACGAAAATGGAACGGCAATCTTGTTTACCAGTCGGGATGCATTCTGTCGCGTGCCTACGTCCTTTCCAATATCGGAAATACTTTTCGACTGTTTTCAATTTTCCTCCTCCCATTTCCATTGGCTTTCTCAAAGTTTCTTGGTCGCGCGACTCGTTTCACGATTCATCGATAAAAGTGCTTTTTACTTGGGCGACGACAAAGAACCCCATACTCTTCTATTATTCTTTCATTCTATGTACGACTTCGTATTAATATCGTTGGAATCACGGTTCGGCGACACGTAATTAAAACGCAAATAGAACAGCGTCTAACTTCGAATGTAAATGAAAGTTTCCAAGTCAAACTTGGAATGTAACTTGGAGCTGTTGATGTTTCAGGACCACCTTTTACGTACCCTTAGCATCCGTTGAGGTTGCGGTATGTTGGCGTAGAACAATGTGAGGGGATTGTTTGATTGGGGATACCATGTAAATTCAGAAGCGTAGCTGAAGTTTAGTGATGACGTTGGAACTGAAATAGCTTTGGATTGCATCGATATTGCTTTGAAATAACAACCATACGAGTTTCAAAGGCTATCGTACGAGTCTTCTGTGAAACGAAGCGAAGACAGCTATTAAGCGATCCATCTTAGCCTATTAGAGCTATCTTTGTCCTCGCGCGCAACGCAGAGATCGGCCGCAAAATCTACGAGACAATCACGCGCGCTTCAACCCTTCCACGTTCTCGCTACTAGAGTTCGATTAATCGTCTTATCGCTGTTAATTCCAAGGCTTGCCGGCGTGTCACTGAAAATATGGCGCAACAGCAGGGTGGAAGGTTTCAGACTGCCTGGATATGCACTCTGTTGCTCCACGCTTTGCATATCTAGACATTGTATATATCAAGTTATCCTTTGTACATCACAACTGACGGGGGAACTGGTTCATTTATCTTGCTCCCCTTTACATAGAGAAATGCACATGTGCGCTCCGATCACTGCCTACCTCTCTCTCTCTCTCTCTCTCTCTGTCCTTCCTCTATTCTCTTTCTCGTGATTTTTCAACCGGACGATCCTTCACCGTTGGCACTTTGATTACGTTTCTACGTTCCCTGAATACCAGCGGCGGTTATACGCATAACGGGGTACTCTCTCCCGCTCGGGTCGGAGAATTGCGAGCGTGAAATCGAGAATGTTGCCGCGAGATTTTTCGCCGCCTTTCTCTGGACATTTTTCACGATCGATTTTCGACCGCGACGGCGAAAAATGTTCGACCGATCCTTTTGTGCTGCGGACGGTGAAATGTGCGCTCCATCGCCGTCTCTCTTTCTCCCTTCTTCCAGCTGAAATATTTCCTCGTCGTCAGGGATTAGGAAAATTGTACGTGTAACGAGCGTCGAATCATCATCCACGGTATCGATTCCGCGGACCCGTTTGATCCTCGCGAAAGGTAATTCGAAACAACTACCTCTTAAAGCGAACGAAAATACTCTCCTCGGGGAAGAACGGAATATTCTAACGCGCGAAGGAAACCCAGCCAAACGAGAGAGTAACGCGCGCTATCGTGTGTGCGCTCGCGGGTGACTTTGGCCCCAAATTGAACGTCGGATAATTCACGCGGAAGTAATCGAACGACCGTGGAAAAAGACGGGCGCGCGTCGTTGCTCGAAAGCAGGGCTTCGCGATCGTGGGAAAGCAGCTCTACCGTGATGTTTGCTCAAAGGAAATTAATTCTTCGGAATTCAAAGGCTTCTTTCATACGGCGACGCATCGCGACACTAATATTTGCTTGGCACACAAGTCACGTTGAGCGGCGCGCCACGCGGAAAACCAACGCGGCGCGGCGGGCTGACTTTCATCCTTGAACACGCGAAGGAGGAGATGCGCTTCCGCGTACGGTGGTATCAGACTGGTTTAATTAGGGACACACTCGATTCCTTAATTGACTGGTTGACGTCTGCACTGCTATAATGAAAAGCTGACTCCTTGTCGACGGTTATCGAGGCTGTTTGAACCTCGTTGAAATGCGTCTCCCTCGCGGAGTCAAGTTCGTGGAGAGGTTGCCTTCTAACGGTCGAGATTATGGGGAATAATCGCAGTGCAAATTTGATGAAATCAAACGCATTATTATTTCCGTTATTGCAAAGTGTTTTCTCGCGTTCTTTTTATATTTTTTTTCGCTACAATTTGAATAAAACTTGGTTAAGAAAATTTCCTACGTGATACATTGTATATCGACAATATATATATATATATTGGCATGATTATAGTAGTTATTCATGTTATTTCGAGCTTGATTTATTGGTGCATGTTACTTCCTGTGCTTGATTTAAATGCAGAACAATAGATCGCGTAAACATGATTCAACTTTCAAAGTGATCAATTTGATTACATCTACCAAAATTTACCGTGTTGAATTTGTCTTTTTGCTCTGTAACAATATACATTAGCAGATTAATTGAATAGATTATCGCGATGCAGTTGTTCTTTGGTGAACGCATTAATTTATGCCCCATTTATTCCTGTGAAACAGACGCGTATTATCAGTTTATTACGAGAAACTCGAACGCGAAACGGTCGTATGTTATCAAAAGCCCTTTTCCCGTCAGCCTGAGATACGCGGTGTTTATTTCGGCGGTCGATATCGCTAGCGAATGCTGTTCGAGTCCAAGTAGCTTTCCCTCGGAATCACGAGGTTCATTCTGTCCGTCAACTATGAAACGTCTTCGCGAAGAGAAATTCACTGGGTGTCGTTGAGAGAAAAAGCGAGCGTTGTATTCTCGGTGTTCTCTGGCACGATCAAAATGGATTGAGACGCGCGACGGAAAAACGTTGCAGAGACACTTGGCCCATTCGTATCGGGAAACATCAGGTGGTCCTTGCGGGCTAGGATTCCTCGTGGAGTTTATGCGAGATAATTTCCAGCGGGCGGGCATTCGTCAGTGTCATCCGGCGAGGAAAGAAACCCCGTAATACATAGAAAAAGTTGCTGGTCGCTTGAACAACCGACGACCCGTTGCTCCAGCTCGATTCGACGGATTTTCCGACAGGTTTCTTCTTTCTTGTTCGAGACCGTTTCTCTGGAGCGCGAGGAGACGGATTGTTAACGACAGGAGCGGTTTAATTTTTCATTTCTGTCGCAATCCTCGTTATTCTCTCTTCCAGGTACCCAGTCGGTACTCTCGATTCCGCGTAGGGGTTGAGTACAAGATTTCAATTTGGTGTCTTTCTGGTTTTCAATAGGAATTGATATATCCGTAAGATGCGAGGTCTGGTCGCAGCTCGGATTTCATTCCTTTGTTATTTTTAAGATTAAAAGTGTCCTCTGCATCTCCTACTTTGACACGACTTTACTTGTTCGTGACTAGCAGAGCTTCAAATTCCAATCAGGACTCGGAAGACTCCTCTAGCTTCTCAATAGCGGTCGATCTATTGTCGAAATCTCGGCTTAGATGTTTGATGATCGTAACCTGGATTTCACTTCTTTCCTATCTCTACAAGTTTTGTCACGTTGGTACGTTCGTTTTACCTATTTACGGAGAAATTTGACTGCTATTCGAGACTCGAAGAGGTGTCCTCGATCCTGAATAGGTATCGATCTGTTGTCGAGGCACAACATCGACTCTGATAAACGCATTGCATTGATATTTCATTCTCGTCCACTTGGCAAATTTAACGCGACAGCTGATGCCAATAGAAAATTGTTTAATCGGACTGGAGGCTGTCGGACGTCGAGTCTTTTAAGCTACGTCGTTGTTTCAGCGTTAATTATCGGCCTCGTTAAGTTGCGTAAAGCGTCCAAGTTCCTCTCTCGTTTAAACGTGGCTCGAACGCAGAAATCTCGTCGATATTTTCATGCAACGCTGCGTCAGTTGCTCCTGAACATACAGAAGGAATAATGGGAATCACAAATTGCAGCGATCTCTGGCGATGGGTTAGTCGCGTTTTGAGAGATGGAAGGGAAATTGATTTTTTATCGTTGAGCGAATAGCCGCGTTTCCACACAATCCTAGTGTTGACGGTTATGCGAAACGAGAATAGGTATTGTCGCCTTTTGTTTCAGATGACACAGAGGAAATTGCGTTAGAGAATATTTGAGCGCTGCTGAATCTATTAAGCAAAAGTTATTAAACGAAATATTTGTGTTCTCCAATATAGAATTTCGTTTTCTATCGTCTCATTGTCGCCAACTGATTTGTATTTTGCTTTGTATTTTGAGTGTATTTTTGTAATTGTCAAAAGGCTTATCGGTTTGGAAACATTGCTGTATTTATCGAATTGTTACGAATGCATATTTAGGTTGCGAACCCTTCGAAAGGCACAGGAAATATATGAAAAAGTGACGAGGATCGATCCGCTTCTCCTTTCCCATTTGTACAAAGCGATCGTTTTTTTTTAACGTTAAAACAAATATTGCGTTTTGCGTTCGGAAAATCGAAATGCGGTTTCGCGAATAAATGTAAAATTAAAATGTCGTGTTGAGGTAACATAATGCTTTGAACGGGATACTAAAAATTCATTTCGCAAACTGAAACCACTAACGGCTACGATATAGACCGAATGAAATACCCGCGAAGATAATTATTTCATTTAACTGTTCGACGGAAATTCGATTTACACGTGCGATATAGAAAAAATTGTTTAATATTTTCAACGTTAAAATTGTTTCAAATTTAAATTTCAATAATTAAATTTTATAAACAGTCGAAGAGAAATGTATAAACAAGGTAAATTAAGAATGTCTCCGACGAGCGATGGAACGGCTCTAAAACGTAACATCCTTTGATGTCTCTTTTTCTGCCGCGATAATTAATTCCTCAAACCCCACGAATTATTCACGTGTCACGTCCTAGCGGGTAAAACGAAGGAATCCATGGGGGAAA